AATGTGTTGTCACCGCTGTTAACAGTAGCCCCACCCCCAATGAGAATGGTAGCACAGCCATCCCCCCAAAATTCAGCAAATATGACATTTGGGGGGTTGCCACTATGGCTAAGCACATGAAAGGTGCCTGGGCTAATGGTATTGATGTACTTGCAAGGTAACTTAGGTAAAGGTGGAAGGTCAGGTTTGTAATATACTATGCCTAGACAACCTAGACTCTAGATTGCAGTGGCTATATACGGCCCAGTGACTCTTAGGCCAATATGGCCTACTCCTATTCCTTTCTGTGCCTGAAGAAAGCTCTCTAAAAGCTAGTCAGTTGGGCGCAGTAAATGGTAGCTCACTAAGCTATGTTCTAGCTGTTATTCTGGAACTTCTGCCTCAAACCCTGGAGTTCCTTACATACAACAACCATGTGTTTGTCAGGACCCATTTTCCCATATTCCCTATTCATGTCATAAAGAGTCCTTAATTTTGAATGCCAATTAGCCACCCACAATATAGGTCACATTGGGGGCCTGCGGGGGGGTGGGGGGTGGATCCATTTGTAGATGAGGCAAAGTGGTGGACATTCATTTCAGAAAGGTCATTTAATACACCGCCAAGCAAACAGAGAAATCCCTACAATACCATATCTTCAATGCTATAATTGTTTGTTTGTTTGTTTGTTTGTTTGTTTGTTTGTTTGTTTGTTTACTGACCTGCCTTAGCAACTCACGGGTTATGAAAGGAACGGAAATATTTTTGATTCCACCTAGCAGAAGACAATGAATCCACATTTTGGCAAAGTTCTGCTTACAAAGGAATACGACTTTGGCATAACTCTGAAATGTCTTATTCTTGTTAGAGAAACTGCAAAGGGGATTATATGGGATTACTGCTGGAAAGACCTGCCAGGATTTTCTTTTTCTTTTTTGGTGGTGCTGTACAACCCATCTTCCTCTCTACTCCTTATACATTTTGGATACCTTATGCAGCTGCTTGTTAAAAGAACATTGCTGCTGCAGTGGAGGGGCTGAAAGCCACCATTTTAAACAAAGGAGTTGAAAACGACCAAGTCCAAACACCAGGTTTCCCCTGGGAATAGCCTGGAGGTTTATCTCCCAAACCACATGACCTCCTGGAACCTCTGGACAAGTGAGATAACACACTCATACTCGTGCATACCAAGGACCCAGGGGGCATTTTGTTTAATCCTAGGACAAAGCTTATTGGGAATAAGGGCTAGTAGCGTTAATAAAAAAAATAATAATAAAGGCTTGATTTTTTAAAAAAAATAATTAATACACATTTAAGCTCCTTGAATGAACTGCCAACTCATCGTGCCACTCAGAACATAGTAAATCCATTGCAGGGCTGAATTTTCCACTGCTGTTAACACAGAGGAGAAACCACGCATATACACAGCTCTCTCCTATGATAATGTGGCTTCTGCCCAGAAAGCATGCAGCCATTTTTCTATTTATAAAGAAAGTAAACAAACAGCTAGGTGCTAAATGAGCCATCCTGCAGAGGGCTCGCAATTGTCATCCCAGGTTGTGCAAAACCTACATACATTATTCACATGGCACCAACAAACTGTGTTGTATGTACATGAGCATGTACAGACTGGTGAGGAGGGGATTTTGTTTATTGCACACTGGTGAGCTTGTCAGCTACCAAAACAAATTCATATCACCAAAACAATTCTACACTACCACTCCACAGCCTCACCCACAGCAAACAAATGATTTTGTCATGTATTACAATTTAAGCAACGCTTGGATCCAAGTCCTGGATAATCACAGTACTTAGTGTTTCAGGAGAGCGCTCTAAGCTCCAAAGGCCTGAATCATTACTGTATTATTCCTATTTTAACACCCGTGCAATTCCAACTGATTTCCATATAGCTTCATGGTGTAAAACTAGGAAACTACAGTGGTAGATCAAATCCAGTGACCTGAAATCCCCCTATAATAACAGGCAGATATCCTCTCCCCCCCCCCAATCTCTCTCTTTTTGTAACAGGGAAGAGAGATAAGCTCTGACTTGCCCTGCATCACATTGTACATCAGTGAAGAGGCCGGGAATAGAATCTTTGGAAGAAACTACACACCCAGGCTTCATCCAAATGGCCAACACCTTTCCATTTCCCTCAAGCTGTGGAGCAGAAGATGCAGCCCATCTAACTGTTAGATAAAGTGTCCTGAACATTAATTCACTGGCTGTCAGAATCCAAGCTTCCATCATCTGTGGTCAAAGTTCACATCCGTGCTTCAGAATCCCAATTTGTCTAACAGAGCCTTACGTGGGAACGGTGTGTGCCAGATTGCAATGTCTTAGAAGCCCAGCTGCCATCAACAGACAGTAAGCATGGTAACTCCATAATCATGTTATACCAGCTAGGTAGTATTTAATGGGTACAGATAAAATAGGCAGAGAGGGGGGAAAACACAAAATTAAAAAGTTGCAGAAATGGTTACATATGAATTCAGGATGGCAAATAAAAGACACCTCTTTCAGCGAGATTTATTTTTCTCATTCCAAACTGGCCGCCTTCGTTTTCCTGGGCCACCCTTTGTTTGGGACTTGTTTCAAGACTGGATGAAAAATCCTCTCTTCAATCTTCCTAAGCACTTTGCATATTAGCAAGTTTGTGGTGGAGAAAGCTCTGCTAAGGTTTGCCTTTATTTTTAAATTCCTATATATTTGATAAACAGAACCATGGTAGGCACAGCGTTCGTTCTCGTAATAAGCATAAAATCACAGAACCACAGAAGGCCAGGAGTTAGGCACAGAAAAGCAGAGTTAGCTTTAATGTCTGGGAAGCCCCAGCCTATGTATTCCCTGACGCCCATTTACTATTCCTTTGTCAAGCCTAATTTTAAATGCAGTAAGTGATGGGATTCCACTATTTCCCTTGGGAGATTAATCCACACAGTCCAATAGATTTTACTGTCAGGAAACTTTTATCCAGTTTAAATTCCACGCTTCTTCATTTTACATAGGAGAGGGTTTTTGTGGGAAGATCTCTTTCCCAGAGAGAAAGGCACTGATGTCTGATGGCGGGTACAATTAATTAGCTTTCGTATTATGAAGAACAGGGACAATGTGTCACATTTCGCCACTTGAGGCAAAACGGGAAGTACTGCTCTGCTGTACCACTGCCACTGCCACTGCTGCCTGCACCAGCATCAGTGCTGAGTTCGGGTGAGATGTCACCAATTTGGAGTGCAATCTCACCCAAATCATACAGGATCTCACACACTCCATGAGATCTTGTGCAATTTTCAGCAATATCTTGCTGGGAATCTTTGCAATTGCACCCAAAATCTGCACTGGTGCTAGCACTGCATCTCTGCTGGTGGTGGAGGTGGCAGGGCAAGCAGGGCACCCGGGGGGGGTGTCTTCAGCGGTTTCTGACACCTGAGGCAGTGGCCTCATCCCCACCTAATGGCTGTACTGGCCCTGCAGAAGAATCTGCAAGGGGAGAAACCTAGACAACTAGGTGTGGATAACTCACATGAGCCTCCATAGATTAGACTGGAGTTCTCACTGGTTTAGGAGAGGAACCATTATTGACATCATAAACGTATTATGTTCTTCAGGGTTGGAGAAAAGAAGCACTTTTTTTTTAAGTGTTAAAAAATGTTAATGGGGGCCTGAGATTCCTGTAACTCCCATCAATGTACTCCCAGGAGGTATAGTATAGTATAGGCCAGCAGTCGAGCTGTCAATGACTGGATCTTTTCCCTATGCCACATCAGAGTCTATGAGATGTAATTGCTAAAAGGTTGCGGCCACTGCAGACTTTTTGCTCCCACACACCACCCGACTCTACATTGTTGGCACAACAGATGATCATAGCACATGCACAACTGCATTCCACACTGTGTTCACCACTGCCAAGCTAACTGGATACAAACTGCATTTTCCAAGAAACCAAACACAGTGCACCAAATAACAGGAAATCGTTATATGCCCAAACACTGAAGAAAATACATTTTGATCCCCTGCTGCCAAAGAATAACAACTTGCATTTCTTGCACTGTAATTTGATTATCCAGAAAGACTCTACAAACTATCTCCACGTGTGTGAAGAATGTATTTTGGACAACTTTATACCCCAAGTTTTCACATTGTTCCATGGCAATACTTCCACAGGTTAAGTGAACAGTGTGTAGGGGAAAATACTATCTTAATAACTCAACATCTCTTAAAATTGGATGCCCTCTAGTTCTTATTATATTGCTGGCATGCATAAATACCAGGTCCCAAATCCCTTCTCCCAGACGGTTCACTGTTTTATATAATTCTCTGTGATTTAGATACCCCATCATAGCATAAACTTCCTCAGCTCCTTCCTTCCTTTTTTCACTGCAGGGTCCTAATTTGTCAAGTCCCTGTTCTCCAGAACATAGCAAGAAATGTCCAAGGGGTGGAGCCTGAAGTTTCTAATCCTTTCCCTCAGAAGAACTAACGCTTTCATCAGTGGAGGGCAGCATCTTTGAAATCTGAGATCACAGTTCTCTATAAAAACAAACAAGCAAGCGAAGAACAAGGGAGAAGCAGTGCAAAGAAGGGAATGTTAATTACAATCAAGATTGCAATCTAATAGAAGTCAGTTATTCCAAAATTATGCTTCCCAACGAATCTATATTTCAGCTATAAATCCCAGAGATGTATAAAGGGAATGAAGGGGACCACAGTTCAGTCAGCAGCACATGCATTTCATCTTCAGTTTAAAAAATAATAATTACGTAACAGGTGATGTGGAAAAACCTCCACCTGGAAGCCTGGAAAGCCATCAAATGGATAGGCAAATATTTTGACCAGTCCCACATTAAGGGCATGTAGGGCCTAAGACAAATTGGAGGGAAGAGCTGAAGTCAGAAGTGGGAACACATTGGATATGAGGTAAGTAGATGAGAACATTCCCAGAAAGAGGGAAAGAATAATAGAATTGCAATGTTGGACCACCAGCATCATCTAGTCCAACCCACTGCAAGGCAGGAATATTTTGCCCAATCTGGGGCTTGAACCCACAACTCTGAGATTAAGAATCTCATGCTTTACCATCTGAGTTATGTGTATTAATGGCTTTGTCTCTCCAACTCTGTTTGTGGGGCCCTTTCCCTGGTTGCTGGCGATGTGCTTTTTGTTGAAGAGGAAAGCACTGTAGAGCAATTGTTTCTTGATTCCTAAATAAATTATCAAGGCCTGGCTTCCTGCTTCAGAGCCATCCTCTGCACCAAATGACACACACAGCAGAGCCTTGAAAGGCATGCTATTGAAGGGCACACATTAAAATCCCCTATGGATCCTACCTCCCATTAGAACAAAACCTGGCTTTATTTATTACAGTCCTCCAAGGGCCCCTTCCCCATATCCTCACAAACAACCCTCTATGGAAGATAAAGCTAAGAAAGAGTGACTGGCCAAGTCTGGCTGGAAAACGGGTCCTGGAAATAATGTGAACCTAAGGCTACAGCTATATTTGCTAGGTTAATTTAATTGACTGATTACATTTATATACTACTTTTTCATCCAAGAAGCTCAGTGTGGTGCACACAGTTCTCCCATTCCCATTTATCCTCACAACAACCCTGTGAGGTAGGTTAGGTTGAGAGACAGTGACTGGCCTAAGGTCAACTAGAGATGACTAAGTGGGGTTTTGAACCCTTGTCTTCCGGGTCATCATCCAACTCTCTGACCGTTATACCACAGACAGCTTCCTGTGTTAGTAAGGTAAGATTAGATGTACCAGTCCTTGGGGAAGAGTTCACAATCAAAAGAATCTCTTGAATACTTGATTTTCTTTAATTCCCTTTTGAAAATTAAGCTAAATATATTCCATAATGCTGTTCTACTTGTACCATATAAGCCTGCTGTAGACCAGTGCATGTGCTGGCAAATACATTATAATCACTAAACTACAAATGACATCGCCTGCTGCAGCTACAGCATCTTAAATCATCTGCACTTTATGCCAGATAAAATTAAGATATATCATTGGAAGAACCTGAAAGAAGTATGCAATTCATTATAATAATTCAGGACTTAGTGTTTCACCCATGTGTAAAATGAAGGACCCAGCCAGTCCTTAATTTGATTTTAAGGTTCTAGTGACATCTCTGCCACGAATCTTCAAGGTGTGTGTCTTTTGGAAAACCACTTAATTTATTTGAATCTTATTTCTCCCATAAAACCTCAGTATTGTGTCTTGGGATCTAAAAATAAACATCAGTAAATTCCGAATATTTTCTGCCACTGGCCTTTAAAGTTGCACTGCATCCTTTTTCGAACAGTTCAGTTGTTTGCCCCAGAATGCCAGCTGAATTCTGTTTTGCATAATTTTATCCCGACACCTTTTTTCCCCTCATGAAATTTCAAACTGACAACTTTCAAGGTTCTTTATTTTAAAGGTCCGCTTGAAGGCTGCTTAAAAACTTCCACTACTTACTTCAGATATGGCTGGATCTCATAGTCTAGCAAGCACTTTGGAAAAGCTGTACGGCGGAAGCTATGCAAATGTCAGTTATTCATTACTCATTAATATAATCATGATTTAACACCCTTACTTCCCCCTGCTCTTCCCCCCAATTGCTTTTTAAAATGCAAATATGCATTTAAAAACCCTTCCACTTCTTTTCATAAAAGTGGCTGAAAAGCAAAGCAATCTTTTACCCAACTGAACAAAACTACTACTAGGAAAAGAATCAAAATCTCAGGGGGGGTGTGAGAGAGAAACAATTTAAAAAGAAAATGAGGGAAACCTATTAGCAAAACTTCTAAGTTACTCCTTGATGATGACAACAACAACAACATGATGCTTTGTAGGCAGGTGGTAAAATACCAAGCACGAAATCAGAATAATTTTGACTTTTTGACACAAAATTATAGCATTTCAGAATTGGAAAAGATCTTGGAGATTACCTGGTCCAATCTCTTTCTCAAAGCAGGTTCAGCTGTGCAGGATGCAACTACAGTATCTCTGACATATGAATGTCCAGTCTCTGCTTAACCCTCCATTGAGAGGTATGACCAAATCCAGCCCAGCAGCACAGGGGGAAACAAATTTTGCATCCATTTTCAAAGCTTTGTGTGACAGGCATTCCTCATGAAAAGGTCTGAATTCCCTTGTGGTGGATATGAGGTATCCTAAACTGACTGAAGTACCAGTATGTTTTTTTTCTTACAGCTTTTGGAGCTAATTCTACCCCTTTGGGAAAGATGCAGAAGACCCACATGCACCTAAGCCATAAAGGTCAAAGTGACACCACAAAAGTATGCTTATGGTTGTTAGTTACTCATCATGTCTACAGGTGCTTAGACCAGAATCTGCTGCCCTAGCTGACCTACCATAGAATACTCTGGTGATACCAACAAATACAAAGGGAAAGAATCAAGAAGTTCTGCAACCACACAGCAGACATTAGTACAAGTGGTACTATCACCTGTTTGTTTTTACTCATGGATGACTCTAGGTAAGACTGGTGTTATGTTTCCATCACAAGACCTAATCTAAAATGAGTCCCATCAGCTGCAGAGATAAAACCAGTCCCCTGGCATTTGAAGCAGTCCATTTCCATACTTTTAATATTACTTAACAATATGCACAGCACAGCTGGCGATACCTCCAAAGACTGTTAAAAACCTACTGTACATCTAACATAAAGCAACTTGTCTCAGATCTGCCATAACCTATTCAATAAAAAGGGAGGGGGAAATCTTCATGAGAGGCACGTGCTAGGTCATCTGAGACTCCCCTTTTGCAGCTGTATCCCTTTCCTCTGATGTGACTGATATCCACCACTAAATATTTATAACACAGTTATAATATTTAGTTGAAGTTCATAACGTCTCAGCACAACCTTGTTTTCTGGCAGTGCCGATGGGTGAAATGGATCACCACCACCCTTGCAAATGATTATAGACCCTGCAAAACATTGACTTCAAACATCAGCTGTCTGAGAACTATAGAAGCTGTCCCTGACTGCAGAAAGTTGAAATATGCATTTCACCTCTAGTAAGTCAGTAAGTAAATTTTTTATTATACCCCGCCCTCCCCGGCCAAGGCGGCTAACATCGAATATCAAATACATGAAAACACAATCAAACAATTGATTAAAATACAGCTTAAAAAATAGAATCAGGATAAAATTACATGACTGCCCACGAATTACAACCATAGGGGTTGGGAACCTCAATTACTCATCAGGGCCAGTTATCCATGTTGGTTCCACATAAGCCGATAAAAGGGCCAAAGAGGTAATTTACAGGGTCCCATAGAGGGGGGTCAAACTGGGCCCGGACCAAAGGCCAGGCAGAACAGCTCTGTCTTGCAGGCCCTGCAGAAGGATGTCAAGTCCCTCTGAGATCTCTGGTCCGTCATTCAGTGGGCCAGAATGGTGTAGTGAGCAAAGCCAATGTGGTACTCTCCACGTGTTTTGGGGCTATATTTCTCATCAGCTCCACCCAGCATAATCAATATCTGGAATTACAGGTACTGTAGGCCAACAGTATCTGGAAGACATCATGAGGGTTACTGCAGGAGTAGAGTGTTGGAATTTGACAAGGGAAGCCTGGATTCAAGTCCCTCCTCGGACATAATCTTTGATCAGTCACCCTCAACCCAACAAATCAATATTAAAAAGGGTGGACCATGTTTCCATATCCACTATGGAGAAGGGATGGGATATATATGCAATGAGAATAAATAAAAAAGATCTATATGAAATATTTCAATATGATAGATATAAACTATAACATTCAAATAAAAAATATCTACAACAAATGATCCTGCCAGGCCCCTCAAACAGCAATTTACTTTGATCGTGATACTGCCAAACAATGACTTGTGTTTTTATAGCAATGCGTATGCTGTCAAGTAGTCATTGGCAGGGGGAGACTTTGCGCACATATAGGAACAAATTCAGTTGTGAAAGCAGTGAATTTGGGGGAGTTCCTTACCTGTCGGAAGCAAGCTAGCAGACCAGCTGTAGCCATTTTAGTGCCTATGAGGGACTTTTGGAGACGTGCTCCTGAAAAGGCTTTCCCAACAGCACCTCGAAATTGTAAATAAAGCTTCAGTAAAAACAGCACATGTTCCTCCATGCATGCATACACCCACCCACCAAGTTTTAACAACAGATACGCCTGCCAACTAAGATTCCAATTCATGCATCTGATGTAGGGGGCTTGAGTCCACAATAGCTTTTGCGCCGCGATAAATTTGTTCATCTTTATGGTGCCCCAAACTCTTTGATTGTTTTAACAGAAATGTTTCCTCAACTGACTATATATCATGAGTGTGTTAAAAGAACTGAGCTAAAGCAAACGCAAATTAGAAAACTGCTCGGACTTCTTTTTCATTGCCTCCACAATCATACTGCTGGCAGTGCTGCCGTTTATTTAATGCCAGCCAACCTGGACAGATGCCTGTTGGGTTTCTTATCCTGTTTGTTCTTTAAACACTGCTTATTCAGTTATTAATATTTAACACTGACATTACTGCTTTGACTTCCCACAGAGCAGCTTTTAGCCTATAGGTATTTAATGGTCCTGAAACAGGAGATCTCCGGAGAAAAGGCAGACTGCTTGAGATAGCAGTCCTGGGCACTCCAAAGGGATGCGCTTGACACTCTAAATTCACTCTGCCCCAACGTGGGTCATAGTTGTACTGAACTTTTAGCAGTGGAGGAAGTAATTCATCAAAAAGAGGATTCCCTGCCCCTGCTCAGGTCCTGTTTGCAGTGTCTCGGCATCACCTACACTGAACATGTGTCATGTGTTGCTCCCCTTCCATTTGTTATGAGGGAAGAAGAAGGGGAAAGAGCACTGGGTGTTGTAGATCCACATGGTAGAAGGCTTCTCCACAATGTTTTGTGGACCTGTCTCTTTTTCTGCTTTTAGATGTAGCAGTCATTAAGCCACACACCGGCACAAGCTCTTTTGTATTGTGCTGCAATCCACAGCAGTCATTTTGTGATTGACCCTCATGGCACCTTCTCAAATTTGACAATCCTTGCTGTGTGCAGGTAGCAAATTGTTGAATATGTAACATACGTCTACACTGGTTATGGAAACTTTCATTGGCAC